TTAGCACCTCGGCGGTTAATTATGCTTCCAGTCTCCACGAACCGTGGGGGCTGGAAATTAGGCAGAAAGATGCTGCCGCGCTGGCCCGTGCCGCCCTCCAGCCAGGACCTTGGGGCTGGGCACGGCCCGGCACGGCGGCCACAACCAGCCGTGCCAGGGTGCAGTGGGACGTCCGGGCTCTGTGTAGCATCCCCCCCGTGGCAGAGGTGAGGGCTTGGATGCTGCCAGGTGGCTTTTGGGGTGCTGGGCGGGCGTGAGGATGCACGTGAACGCGTGCACGTCTTGCCCTCCAAAGGGAACGTGCCTCTCGGATCCTGATCCTCCATCACCGCGTGCACGAACATCATCAAATATTGAAAATCAATGGGCCACTGTAAGGGAAGCAGCACAGAGCATGTTGCATGAAAACAGCCTTGAGGAACAGAGAAAAAAATATTAGCTAAAAATAAAATTAATCTCTTACAAAGCTGTAAGATTTGCTTCTCACCCCTCCCCCCTGCACTGCAATCTTTTATGTCATTTTCTTTAATTACAGCTGGTTTAGATCTCTGCTGCCTGGAGAAGCATAGCTGGAGTTAGCCATAAATTGGGCTTCTGGATGATACAAGAGAAAATAATAACCCCCAAGGACTGAACATCTGTCCACACAGAGCACACACAATGTTATAATTAATATTAATGACTAATAGTTAATATAGAATGAAACTTTTGCTTTATAGGTCACCCAACAAACCCAGCCCCGCTGCAAGTCTCAGACAGAGCTATTTTCCATGTCACAAGCTCCGATGGACTCCTTTCAGCCAGGAGTCCCCACGGCTCTGCTCCCGGCTGCCGGGCTCCTGCCCCGGGGCGCAGGGAAGTCGGGTGAGGGGGGGCTGCTTAAGGCTCAGCTCTTGGTAATAATCAGCAGTCTGGGCCTCCCACCCGTGCACGGCCCCTCACAGCTGCCCGGCGGGTCCCAGGGAGGGAAGGTCTTTGCCAAGTTTCGATTTCCCATTTGATTTCAGATCATTAATTAAGCGCGGGCACCCGAGGTGCGCTAGGGCTGGTCTCTCGCAGGAGGAACTTCACCAGGACGCCGGTGCTGGCCGAGATGGATGCGGCAGCCCCAAGCTCTGCCCTGGCAGGTTAATGCAGCAGGAGCAATGGCCACAGGGACGGGGCGAGGAGGATGACCCTGCACTGAGCCTAGCCGGCCGTCCTCCCTGCCGGCTCTGCCACCGCTGGCTCCCTCCCACCTGCCCAAGGCAACACCTTTGCATCATCAGTCCTGCAGGGTGGGTTTCCCCCACCACCACCGTTATCTTTTCCTTCTTAGCGAGGAAAGCACGTGCCTGTTAGTAATAGAGAGCTCTTGTTTTCTTTTACTAAATTCTTACCTTTTATTTCTGTATTTCTTGAATTATCTACTCCATTTCAGTTAGACTATAGCCATTCCTGCCTATTGCACTGCCCTCGGAGTTCTGTTGCCTTTTCCAATAATGGAGAACCCAAAGGAAGAGAAACAGATACTGAAAACACCAGCTGCTCCGTTCCAAAACCAAGCGCATGCTAAAGACATTTTCATGGGCCCAAAAATGCGCCCCATTCATCACTCCCGGAGAAAGGATGCACCAGCTAACGAGCGGGTTGAAAGCCAGAGAGGGTAAATAATTGTGACATGGCTGCTCTCGAAGACACTCCCCCCGTCCGCACTTGCGTGGATGCCTGGGGGTCTTTTTGTTCTTTAACCCTCATATTGGGTCTGGGACAACTGATTAAAGGTCCAGGACAGATGAGGCGCAGAAGCTCGTGTGATAAGCGCGCACAAAACATACAGCACGCTTCTTTTCATGTGTCCACTCTGACATAATTTTTCACATGTTGGAAATACAGATGATTTTAGCCTGGGTCCATCTAGTTTCCCAAATAACCTGTCTATTTGATAAATAACATAAATTAAATTAGACTAGACAAACAAATAGTTTTTTTTCTCTCCTCCTTTCAGTCTCTTGGCAAAAAGGAAAAAAAAAGGAAAAGAAAACATAATTCAGTGACTGCCTTGAGCCCCCGAGGAGCCGTGTGGTGGTGAAAGCTATGATTATAAACGTGTCTGCAATGTTAACCTTTAACATGGACCCAAGGTCCGTCCTTCCTTCCTCTGCTTGTAAGTTCTTTTTTAATTTCTTCACTATCATTTAGGTTACTAAGAGCTCATTCTCTCTGCAAACTCAGCAGGTAATATTGCATACTTAGCAGCACTCCTCATCAAGGCTCCCGCGGTGCAGTCTATCAGGAGCTCAGATCCAAAAGGCTTTACTCCTCCTGTCCCTCCTGCGGGTAAGGGAAACTGAGGCACAGAGACATGTAGTTATTCCAGCTGCCTAACTCAGATGAAAACCCTGATGCCCTACCAGGGTGCAGCCACTTTTGCATCTCATGCAAAGCCAAAACCCAACATCACCAATTCCGACTCTCAGCTGTAACTGCTAGGAGTTAGCCCAAGATACGATTAGAGGGGGAAAAAGCAGCCTGCAAAGTGGAAGGAGCTCTGCCTTCAGTCCAGGACAGCCCCACAGAGACTGCTTCTGCACAGGCTGAGAAGCAGCACCGCCCTGCCCCAGGGCTGTGCGCAGGACCCTCATTCCCACCCTGTCACACCTCTCTGCCTCCACCCTTAGTCAATCCCTCCTTCCCAGGTGGTCTGGCCAGCCCCAGACCCCTTCCAGCAGCAACAGGGGGGGGATTTTTCTCCCCGTTAGCACAGCAGCATCATCTCAGTGCCAGGAGGGGCAAGCTGAATCGATACTTGAAAATGAGAAGCCAAAGCTGAGTTAACGTGCCAGACGGGAGGTGGGGTCGGGGGCAGCCCTGGAAGAGCCGGCCAGAGAGACGAGATGGATGAGAGCGGGTCAGCGGCATGGGTGGGAACACAGGCGAGGGTCAGGCCCAAACCCACAGCTCTCGTCTCTGGTGGGAAGATGGAGTCTGGCACAATAAGCAGCAGCAGCAGCGTCTCAGCACGCGGTTCAACCCCCTCTGCTATTGAGATTTCAGCTCCTACAGGACTTGCCCCTGGCTCCTACCCCTGCCTCCCCAAAGCACAGCATGGAATGTACTCCCATGCGAGGAATTTCTGGGGTGCAATGCGGTGCTTACCAGCAGCAAACCCTGAACTCCTGAAAGGTCGTTGTGGGGGAAATGTTTACTCTGAACAGCAGTAGCCAGAAGTCTTCCCATTCTATGTATTTCAATTTATAAGCTTTTCAGGCCCAACAATATTTTTCTACTCTTGGCTCTGGAACAAGCAAAACATATTTTGAAGGGAAAATTCTGAAGGGAAAGCAAAACACATGCCATCGTTGTGGCTAAAATATGCTGAGGAGAGGCCAGCAAGACCCCTAGGACAAAGCCAACCCTCTGAAAGTGCTCTTTAAGCTACTAACTTTTAATGCAAAAATACAGCAATTATAGGTCTATGTAAAAATTTAATCCTTTGCAATGCCATAGAGCATGGAAAATATTAAGAATTTCCCCTTGAGTCAGAGTATAGTTTAAGCTTTAATCATTCTTCCTTCCCCTTTTGCTGGAGGAAGGGCGTTCTCTTGCTGCTCTCTAGTGGCAGGCATTATTAGCAAAATTAAAAGATGCTGAATTTTGCAGCTTCAAATGTTTTTGTCCAGTAAATCTATGCTGAATTAGTACAACTTACAAGTCAGTGCAAACACCGTGATAGAGAATTAACTGGATATTCCAATATCTTCTTTCAGTTATGTTGTTCTTCAAGAAACATCTGATAAGTGACCTTTCTTCCTTCATTCTCTTCCCTCAACCTCCTGTCCCAAATCCAGGTATACTAATTATTAGCATTGCTAGAATGAACTGAAATAAGCACACCTCAAGCCAACGATAAAGGAAGTTTTGTCTAGGAACTAACAAACTCCAAACTATTGAAGCAGTAAAAAGAAACATATTCTTAGGGCCAAGAATTTTATGCAAACCTAAGTGGCAGACTTGAGAATTTACACTCCAATAAACACGGGGGGGCGGTTTTTGTTGTATTCCAATATTTTTGCAGGTGTTCCTAGTGCAGGGCTTAGTTGTGGCTACAAAAGAAAAGCAGCAATAAAAAAAAAAGACAGAGCTAGACAAACATTTTGAACAAAAAACCCCATGTACCCACAACAGAGTGAAATCCTGTAAATTAATTTCAACTGCCTCCAAAATTAAAAACATGTTTTATTGTAAAATTGCACTCCAATTAGTACCATAATTCTTTATAAACATAATATACAGTAAAATATTTTACATGTAGCACACCAGGCATATGCTTATGATGTTACAAAATTTACAGTTCAGGATACTTCTCCGACAAGTCGGCAACCTAAGTATGTGACATCAAGTCCTAGAAAGATCTTTAGTCTTCCAGAGCAGGCCACTGTCTTACCACTATCTGGTCTCTACTTTAACACATTCAACATGTAATCAGAAATGCTGTATATCCTGCCTCAAGTTTCTTTCACACTATTTAAAATAGTTGTGAATGATGGTTCCTTCTTATCTAATTTCCTCATTCTAGAGAAGGCCTTTCGTTACTAGCTGTTCAGAAATGGATGATTTCTTGGATGAGCGCAGCTTGCATGAAAACAGAACGGATGATTTAAGAGAGTCTTCAGTTGGGCAAAACAACTTCCCCCCCAAAAGCAAACACCCCCCCCCCGACACATCTCCTTTTCCTATTTGTGAATAACGTCTGTTATTCACATTCTTCCCTCTCCACACACACACATTCATATGCACGTGTAAGAATATAAACAGTAATAAAAACTTGGAAAGCAATCCTTATACTGCCTCATAAAAGACTGGGACCTTTTTTCAAAGTATACATTGCAAATATAAATTAGAGCCTCTTAAAATCTCAAGCTAATAAATGCTGAACGTTAGAGAAAATAAGACCGAGGAAGCCATAGCTACCTTCGTACTGCAAGTGTAAACAACGTATGTCCTGCCATAGTTAACACTGCTTTCTTCTTACCCAAAACTGCAGAAATACCTCCTTCATCTGTGCTTTAAGCTAACTGCAGCATTTCTGTGTCATACCTGTCACATAAATGGTATTTTCAGAGGAATCTGATATCATTGAAACACGTGAGACTGTGTGAGGACAGTTCTACAGTAGTGTAAATTTCCTTAATGCTTGGGAAAAGACCAAGTTACTATTTCATTCCAGACCAAGCATGGATTTTGCGCTCTCAGTTGCCACGGAGCACTGAGAAAAAACAAAGGGGAATAAACAAGACCATTGCCTGGAAATTACTGGAACTTGTGAATTAAATGGCAGCACGAGAATGTATAGCAATGTGTTTACCTTCCTGATGATTGCTGGCAGATTTGCAAACCAAACCGCAACTGCCAAAGAGATGAGATACAACCTCTGGCCCTAAACACAAATATTCAGCTCTCCAAGTACTGGAATATGCTTCGGCTTTGACTCGTTTCCTCTGTGCTCTCTACCCTGGGCCGTTTGGCCAGAGATGTTATTGCTGCAGTAGGACCTCTTTTCTTCACCTACAGGGGAGGAGTAGGATACATTAGAATATACAAAAATCTAAGTTTAAATTTTGAATTATGAGAGAAATATTTGGTGTGAGAGCACATACTAGGAAATCATAGAGAATATTTAAAACAGCAATGCTCTTAAGTACCTGGCAGTGCTTAGTGTCTGTACGTTTGAATAATCTACACAATTGGCAGCACATTCCACACAAATCTTTACCTGAAGTTTTGATTTCTCCTTTGCCTCTGCACTCTTGTCTGGGGAAAGCGTATGAAAGACAAAATTCCTTGAATTTCGAGGTGCGTTTGGATTAAGATCTGACATTGCTGCTAGTTTCTGAAGGACACCTTTAGGTCTGTTCAAGAGAGACCCATTTTTTATCTGAAGAGAAAAAAATGCTGTGTTAAACCACTCACATGAACAAGACTGCCCTCTTAGTAGGTTACTCTTAATAGAAAAGACGACTCCCTACTAAATGTTACTCACTATCATACAAACCAGAAATGGCCAGAATCTAGGGTCAGCTGACTTTGCTGTGTTCTACATATGCAGTTTGGAAATGCCATTTTTCAGAACCATTACAAACCTGGATGTCACTGGCAGGTCTGAATGTTTCAAACGGGTTCCTGGGTAATAGTGTTGTGTCTTGTACCACTACTGCTGGGCTTGCTAGCAGAGACAAAGAGGAAAATGTCAGTTTCTGAAGTTCATTTGAAAAAATATAATTTTAAATCAAACTGAAGAACTTAGAATTGACGACAATAAATACTGCAGGGAAAAAAAGTCTGCATCAAATTATACATGCAACTGATAGATGACTCTGGGAATTAGTTCTATCAGTTAGAAGGGAAAATTTGTTTTTGAAACAGCTGTGCACACTTGGAGTCATGTTTTTGCCACAACCAAGGAAAACTTAAATTTCTTTTCACTACATTACATAGTTTTTCCTTAAGTCACAGATATTTGGAGAAACTGCTAGGCTGAATGCCACTGAATGTCTTCTACTCCGCGACTTAAAGGCAAGCAAATGAAGAATAAAAGACTAAAAGATGTAGAGGAATTTATTTCCACTCTACAACATTTTTTTCAAGAAGTAACATACTATTTTATTAAGTAAGTACACACAATTATCACAACCTTGCAGTCGCATATTTTCAATGCTTTTATACCTTTAGCTTTTCAAGTTCTGGAAGACATGAGCTCAGACTAGTGTAATAAAACTAGACACTGGAGTTTTCTGATCCGTGACATGCTTCACTGGAGACCACGAGTGATGACTGGAAGTTAAGCTTTCTTTCTCTTATTTGATTGTCACTGCAATAACAAGGAAGCTTACCTTTCTTCTGTAGGGACTTAGCAGTTACTTTTTTTGCTAGTTTCATGAACTGGCTGTCTTCACCGATTTCCTCCTCCTCCTCCTCCTGCTCTTTATTCTTTTCCTTCTGTAGCAGAGAAGACACTTTGTAAATTGAAAAAGTTCATATTAAGAATGAACATTTAATTCTGTATTTTAAGTAGACCAAGTCCTTTCATTATGTAAATTAAGTCTTTTTTATTTACTTTCTACTGTGAAAGTTTATTGCAATTTCTTAGATACTTTATCATCCTCGTTCTATTAATGAATGGCAAACCTGTAGTACCACATTCAGCTGACAAAGCTGACCTAATACTGAAACTTCTAAAACTTAAAGTTATGCTCCCAGCATAAGAGACTTATTCCAGCTTTGAAGCTGACTTGTTTCAGAACATAGTTGTTTTGCCGCTCCCTTCTGAATTAGTTTCTCTCTCTGTACAATACTTGAAGAGAAAGAGCAGAATTCATGATGGAAAACAAAGATACATTTATGAACGGTATTTTTTCCAGAGTTTAACTTGAGGAACTAACAATTTCACATCTAGCAATGGTATAGAGAAAGACTGAGCAAGATGCCTTTCTTGAGGCTAATTAATACCTGCTCACGAAGCCACTGTTCTCGTTCAAATCGCTCCTTCCTCCATTTCACTTCTGTCTCAAACTGTTCATTTTCATCATCATCATTATCTGAATCTCTCTGAAACAAGTCAATCTGTGAAGCATAATCTAGACAAATAAAAAAAATAATTAGCTATCAATTTTAAAAGAGACATAAAATATGCAGACTAGTAAAAAACCAAAAAACCTAAACCAAACAAAAAACAACCCCAAACCCAAAACAGACCCCTCCCAACCCAATGTATTTCTTCATTCTTTAAATAAAAAACTTTATTTACTTCTGAAGGACTACTGAGTGCTATTTCATACACACACACTCTCTTTCCAATCTTTCATCCCCATCTATTAACTATGGATCAGAAAGGCACCTATGTTTTTCCATCTGAATCTCCTCATTCTGCCAGGGCCATCACTATGCAGGTCACCATCAATGAGGTATCTCTCCTGGTACAAGCGTAACTGACGCTTGTCATCATCAAGCATTACCTTCCTATCAACACAGAAGAAAGGGAGGAGGTTAGTCCAGATTATATGCAAGAGCCATGACTTCACACACAAAAATACATACTAATACTGCCACTGACATGTGTAATTTCTGTATTTGATTTCCTAATTCCACTTCATTAGGGAGTTCCTCATCAATAATCTCTTCTTCATATTCGTTCAGGTCTTCACCATCATATTCATCCTCGCTTCCCACATCACTCCCTGAAAGCTCTGCCTCATCTTCCATGAAATCCTGCAGTTTTCTATAAAAGAACATTAAAAGAGTTCAGTTTGGTAGACCAATAATCATCACACAAACCTTCTGAAAGCAAGATTTATCTTTTGACATAAAATTAACACATATCCTAAATGAGAAATTATGATTTGCCTTTAATTTTTTAAAAGACTAAGTGATTTCAGTCAAAAAAATGTTGCATTGCTTTCATCATGGGCTTTTGACTTCCATCTATAATGGAAATTATAATGGAAATCCTCTACAGCCCACCTGCAACATAGTTAAACTCATGCAACGTAACAGCACCAAAGCAAAAAAACCCCAGCCAGAGCCAACGCTATATAAACATTAGCTACTAATGCTGGAGAGGGAATAGACTAAATTTCTAGTGCTGTCAATATTCTATTCTGTCTGGCAATTAAGATACAAAAAAGATGTACTTACAGTTTTTTCTTCAAGCCCTGTCTATGTCTGAGCAGTTCTTCTTCTTCATCGCTAATTTCTGCTTCTTCAGGATCACTGTCTCCACTTTTTTCATCCTGTCAAAGAGAAAGTTTTCAGAAATTAAGGAATTTCTGAAAGCAGACTGCTTTGTAATGACGGCTTCTGCTGTTCGTCAATCAGTAAACACAGACTAAAACACCACAGATTTTTCAGAGGATTTGCTACGCTAAGATGCTTTATCCAGTGTATTATAATATTAAGTGGACATTCTAAATGATCCAAACACTGCTCTTAGAGATGTTTCAGTAACTTGTTCTGGAAGTCACGATCCTTTGCATTGATGGTTATTAAGAACCTAAGTAGATAAATGGAGTTCTCATAGTCAGAATGCTGCAGCAGTTGCTTTGCTCCATCAGTTCTTACCTCTTCACTATCAAAGGCATTGTCGTCTGTTAAAAGCTGAAAATCACCAAGTTCTTCTTGCTCCTCCTCATCTTCCTCTTCCCTGTGGGAAAAGTGAATGAATGAAATGCATGTTTTCACTTCACCTCCAACGATGGCTTCTCAGTAATTTAAGGCAAGATTTCAACCATCATGTTAGCTGGTCTCAAGCAATTACCTGTGAGTGTTCAGAGAGCTACAGTCTCTCAACAGCATTTAGCTTTAGATGCCCAAGACCCCCATTAGCACTGACGTTTTAAGACCTCAGGTCTTCATTTGCAGAAACCATGGGGCAAGTATTAAGTCCTGAGTGTGTTTCCCTCTAAAATTCCTCTTGGATCTCCCCAACAATTCCCATTTGTTAAACCTCATTATCCTTTTGTCAGGCAGCCATACACCTTTCCAGTTTAACCAATGGAGAAAATGCTAGTATCCAACTTACATTTGGTTATGGTTCCTGTAGTTTGGCAACAGCCCAGAATAGACCCCAGAAGTCCTACACTCTAACAATCTTTTCTCAGTTTGATGAAAGTTCTTCAACACATCTTTCACTACCAGTGAAAGACAAAGAAGAATTTCCCTTCACAGTAGCTGTGGGAAACAGTATATGTTGCCAATTTAGAGAGTGATTGGTGAGCAATTTGCAATATTCCTCCCCTTCACCTCCAACACAGACCACACTTTTGCTTACAGCATTTTGAATTGACGTCGAACAAGAAAACACATTAAGAGTGAAACAACTACCACTATAAGCTTTTGTAAATTTTAGGAAGAATAATGCTAACCTGTCTGTGGGAAAGGAGCCTGAACAAAGTGCTAGAGCTTCTGCCATTGGATCTTCTATGTCACTGTCTTTTTCTGCCTTGGAAGATACTGAAGATGCCCATGTTGGAGAACCTGCTACAAAAAGTAGTAAGATGGCAACTTATTAGGCAGATGTATTTGTACTCTTAAAATGTCAGAGAACATCCTAGAAATGACAGTTAGCATGCTCCCACAAAGGCAACAAATTATTAGAGCTCTCTGAAGTCTTGGAAGTTCCACGTTCTGCATTAGTGCCCAGAACTAAAGGGTACCTTAGCGTAAAGCTTATAAATCGGGTAACCAGCAAAGCTGAAAACAGAATTCAGGACATACTCTGAGACACGAATTTTCCTGAGCAAAGATTGAGCAATTCTTCCATGTTCTGCTTTTTGTTGCTGCTAGCATTTGGCACGTGTTCAGCTTGACTGCTAAACTGTCCAGAACACAAGTCCAGTAATTCATCCATATTGGCATCCATTGCATTCTCATCCATACTAGCCAGAGTCAGCTGATGCTTTGAGGACTGGTATTTATTCCTGTGTTGTCCAACATTCAAGAACCTGAAAGAAAGTCTGTAGTTAGAAAAAAATCTTGCTGGTCTGTATGTCCTATTTCTGTTAAAGGGCACAAAATGTCATCCTTTACACCTATTACTTACCCATCTGCGTCAAGCAGCTGGCTCTGAGTGTCATCTTCCAGAGAAAATTGAAACTGTGACTCCCCAGCCCCTGGAAATAAACTCTTAGGCTCAGGAGAGGCATTATACAGGTCCTGGGAATCTTCTATGGGAAGAGAGGGCTCAGATGTCTTTCCTGAACTCTGGTCAAAGGAATGTAAAAATATACAAGTTATTTCTTTTGCAATCCTAGAAGTCAAAAGCAAGAATGGGATAAAACGTTTAAGCTATTTTAAAGGATTAACACCATGCAGGAGTCAACTATGTCCACACTGCTCTGATAAATCATAGGAGTTCACTGACATCAGATGTTGGGTAGCCCACGTAAGTATGCTTAAAAAAGTATTTACAATGTACATATTTTACATACCAAAACCAGATTATAGCATCTTTTCTTTGATGTTTTAGGATATAAGTTTCTATAACACCATTTTTATCCACTCCAATGTGGAGACATTTTAAACTCCAGGGACAGTTTGCTCTTCTGAAATCTTACTCATATAAAAGCATTTCGCTAGATGCCTTCTTCTGGTATTATTTTTTGGACAGATATGACACTCAGGATAAAATACATTTATTCACTACCCATTGTGTTAATATACAGTGGGACTAGGACTGAGAACCTTACCTTGGAAGCAGAGCTGATGAAGCTTGTTTTGAAAAAACCTGGGGAAGGTGACCTGAAACCTCCTGCCACAGATAAAAAGTTCCCTCCACGTGACATCTGTTTGTTGCAGGGCTGATAGGATGGAATCATGGAGCCGATCAACTCAAAGCTGCTGTTATGGCTATTCTCTTTTGCTAGTGTTGGTAGAGAAAATGAATCATCGTCCTCTGAAAAGAAAATAAGTATTTAAATACAGTGCTTACGGGGTTTTTTGGTGATCTAGTAAAACCCCAAGATACTATTTTGCAACACTAACACCTTGCTAAAAAATGCATTATCCTGTGCTTATGTTGGATTTCTTTCTTCACAGAGGATGCATATTGCACTTTATGACTGAATTTCATCTTGATTTCTAACTGTTTCTGTACTTTTTCCAGTATCATTCTGAACTTTATTTTCCTCTAGTTTTTTCAATCCCTCCCATTTCTTTCATCAGTCTAAACTTTCATAATTATACTGTACAACTATACAGGTGATGAAATAACAAAAATACTGAATACCAATCCCAAGTAGAAACTTCTACGTGTGCCATGTGAAAAAAATGCTAGCTACAATAGTAGTTCTACTTTACCTAATTTGGTAGGTCCTTTGTCTGCAGCTTCTTCCATTTCAAGTTTCTCATCAGGAAGAGAATATCTGCAATTCATTAAATAAAATGTATTTGCTAATATATACAAGATGAATTGCTATTGTCTGTCAAACCTAGTTGCAAAGAACAAGGTAACACACAAGAATACATCTAGTACACTTTGATTAAGAAACATATTATTCCACTAAACAACAATTACAGTCATTAAGTTTTTTTAAAGAAAATATATGAATTCACGTATAACTACTGGAACAAGACAGAAAAAACACTTATAAGAAATACTTTAAATCAAAGCATCTACAAATTTAAAATTGCTCAGGCACTGTTTTTAAAGCTTGGTTTATTTACCCCATTTTGGAGGAGCTGTCCTTAAAAAGCATCAATGTAGACTCTGTTGAAGATGGTTTGGGAACAGAATCACAGTGCACAGATTTCTCCAGCTTTTCTCCATCACTTGATTCTTTGTCAGTTTCTTTATCACCATCTTCAACGTGTTTCTCTTCTATATCTTCATTATCCTCCTCTGCTTCGCCAAGCAGAAATTCCACATTCTAAAAAACATCCCCAAACATAGCAGAGATATGGTGATCATTGCTTTGATCTCTCTACTTCCCTGCACACTTTTCAAGAAAACATTTTAACATATGGAGGATGAAGCTGCGTCACATTCACAGCTCTTACAAGCATCTAGTCCACTCTGAGACAACTGACATAGAGGTGCTTGAAACAGCCAAGCTATTCGGGTCCTTTTTAAAAACAGAAAGGCCATGGCAAACCCTACCCTGGATCAGGCAGGTGACCTCGGTTTGTCCCCTGCTAGCAAGGAGCCAAGAATATATAAGAAGAGAAAGAGGCACCAGAATCTATTTGGTTTTAATATTGTTTAGACAAATAAAGAAAATACGAATAAATTCAGTTTCAGACAATCCAAACCCCGAACATGTTAACTGTAGCAATATTTTAGCTTCTAGGAAGAATTCTTGGCAATTTCCCTAATATCAATAGTGTACAAAAGTCTCATTTCGTCGGGGAGAGGCAGCAGAATTGAGAAGCTGACTAGGTTATGTAAAAATGTTGTATACAGACCTCATGATTGCCTTCTTCCTCTTCCTCGGACTCATCTGTTAAGTCTTCTTCCTCCTCCTCCTCCTCCTCCTCCAACATGTCCTCATTATCCAGTTTAAACAATGCTTGCCGCTTTTGGCGTTCCTCAGTCCTGCGGAGTTTCATGGCCTCCTGGAGTTTAGCCTTCAGCGCTTGTAGCTTTTCACCTGGATAGAAATGAATAAATTAATATATTAGACGTAATACAGTGAATCCTTACCTTCACTGCCTTCAAGCATCCAATCTAATGTAACTATACACATAGAAAGGGAATTAAAAAATTACTTGTTTTTAAATGTCTTTATAAATTGATTTGCAAGTTATAAAAGTTAGAGCAGTTAGTGTCAATGAGGTCAATTTGGAGAGACCACACAACCTCCTGAATTATCAAGATTCCTCATTATCCATAAATGCCACCGGTGCAGCACTCTGAATAAGAATAGGGTCTGTCTCTCCACTGCGTCTTTTGGGATCAAGAGCATCCAATTGCCATGGGGAGATGTGCTACAGTACATGAAATAATTAAGAGCAGCTAAAAATAACGCGTGCCCATAGAACCAGCCAAATAATGTATTTCTTTTAATGGATACTACGGGAGAGTCACATTCCGCACATTTTTGTTGGCAAATACATGCAATTCTATTAGAAACTGCAGTATAGAAATAAGGAAGCATGAGCGATCTAATAAATGGTAATAGTTCACAAGAAGTCCAAGAGTTACATTCAGAGGGCTGATGTAAAACAGTGCAGATATGTTTACATAGATTTTGGTACAGATGGGGAGAAATCCAGATAACCAGTCGCAAAGATCTGACTGAGGCTGTTCTACGCTGGCCAGTGCTATTTGAGGTCTATCAAGATTCTTTTTTAAAAACGGGGCTATCCGTTAGAGGGAACATACATATTAGTTTTAGAGATGAAGATCCCTTCATCTGTATTTCATGGGGCAGCGTTGGGAAAGGGGGAAATGAGAGAGAAAAAAGACAAAGTGTTTTCCAATTCAACCATCATCACTTGTCCTCCCAAACCGACCTGGCTTTGTGTGGACTGTTTCATCCAGGCTCTCTGCAGCTAACACTGCCGGTACCACGTCTGCTTTCAGTTCCTCTTTTCCTTCAGATGTAGTCTCCTTACGAATAATGTTCATGTTTATGGTCCGTTCAACTTTGGATTTTGACGTTCGAAGAGTGTGCTTCAAGAAACGTGCTTTCAAGGCTTCTAATTCTTTAAATACATATTAATTAAGTTTCAAAATGCAAATTAAGTTAATTTGATAGCATTTAAAAGCACTGAGTGTTAAAGTTATAACAAGAGTAGGTCTTGAGAATTTTTTTTTCAAAGTTAGTTAGTTAAAAACTCTAAATCTTTTAATATTAAAATATTGGCAAAACCGTTCTGTTTGACTAATAAAACAATAAACCATTATGGAATATTTTTGTTTGACTAATAAACCAAAAAACCATTATGGAATATTTTTGCTGTAACTTGTACTTAATTGATATTAGCTAGTATTAAATTACCTTACCATTGACTATGATTTATCCACAAGACCTCAATTCACTTCCAGTCTAGCCTTCCAGCCACCAGGCATCTCTAAATTGCTGTTAACAGATATATCTAAAACCAGACTGATGGCTGACAAAAACACTGCTTCTTGGCAGAGGTCAGTTTCCTGCATGCACAGAAGTAGCATCCAATCCAGACATCCTCTTAGTATCTTCGAATACATAATAGATTTAATGGAATTATAAAATTGTTTAATCATCTGTAATCTTTCCCTGAAACAAGGTCAACTATTTAATATTGATGAATAGATGTTCAAATTCCAGCACCTAAAAGACATTCCAAACATTCTTGCTACAAAAGTAAATTTTTGCTTGCTATCCAGCCTTGCCTTTTACCAAAATCGGTGGTAAACAACTCTGGAACACAGGCCAGCTTTGTTTCCAGAAAATTACTGCATGCCTCGTTTTGAATCAATTTGCAAAAAGTGCCCCCATGTGCTTTAAGTACCGACATAATTCACTACAGCAAAACGGAAATGAATCATTCATCGTTAAACAGTTCTCACTGAGCATTCCTTCAAGCTTTCAAATATTAAGGACTCAGAACTTCCCTTATAAACATCAGGTGAAAGAAAATGGATACCAGCATTAAGCAAAGAATCTGTACTAGTAAGAGAACATGCCTGACTGTTCTATCACCTACACGTTTCTCAGAGATTTTTCCAGTTAAAGTCAGATTAACTCTGCTTACTTGGACAGATCTGACAGGATTACAATAATAAAAATGATACCTTCATTTGAATCAGATTCATCGAGGTTTATAAAGGATTCATTGCCAGAGCAGATTCTTGGCTTGATGGACAGGTCTATTCCCAGTTCACGAAGTTTATCCAACTTGGACTTCCTCACTTTTTCAGGTTGTGCCACCAATCCAGGCCCCACTTGTTGATTGCTTTTTTCACATTCTAAGTCTGGTGCTGTTTCATCTCTTTGCTCAAGGCCATCTCCTCCAGCTGCTAGAGGAATTTCATTCTCTTTTTGTTGACTACAATCAGTGCTGAGGAAGTGAGAGTGCTGTTGTTCTCCTGTATTATTATCAGTTGTTACAGTCCTAACTGTAGGAGAATCATCACTGTCCTGCCTGGGCTTTTCAGCACAGTCTTCTGTCAAGTTCTTCCCTACATCAGCAAGAGGTTTGTTCACAGCAGTATCAACATCTCTGCCAAGGCTTGTTTCTGGTTCATTAGCCGCTGATTGATCACCTCCGATTCGCCCATCACTGCAATCCGTGTTCAAGTTCTGAGTGTCTGCAGATTCTTCATTTAGGGATAGCTGGTATTTAGTGGACCTAATGAAGGCAGAAAGAACTGTATCACCCATGGCTATTGTGGAAGGGGAGAAGAGGCTGAAAACAAACTCAGAGAGAAAGAAATCATTTTCTAAGTATTGTCATTAACGTGTAGGAAGAGGTGAAGGACAGAAGTCTGGAAAACTTCATTTTGAGGAGATAAGGAAGCTGAAGTGTCATGTAAAGAGTTTGTACTAGTTAGTTACATTATCACAGTGTAAAATTCCTGAGAGATTTTGTGACAACAGTAGCTTAAGTATTTTACTACACACTTCTCAAAAGAAGAAATAGTCCAAGCAAAATGTCGTGGTCCAGTCTAAACCACATTAAAGTAACTTTGCATGAGCATGTTACTTCATCTGGAGTTACTACTAGGCCCTGATTACTTCAATAGTACGACTGTGTCAAGAGTGCAGCATTGCCTTACGTTAACAGTGACACACTCCTAATTTCCAGGTGTTCATGGCATTAAAGGACCCTAAGAAAGTTTAAGAAAACTTTCCAGTCAAAGCAACAGCTAAAATTAAACCAGAAACAGGATGTAACTGTACACAGAGCAGGTGGGTACATCATACAATGCCTATAGCATGCAAAAGTCTGGTTATCCTCAAAATTTATGAAAAAATACGAGGAAGGTGTAAGTCCTTACTTCAGCAATGCCATGGCATTTCCTTGACATACTGGTCGAGGTCTACGCTTGAAGAAGTCATGAATGCTTTTGGTCTCAGGCACATGATATGGGAGAGACACAGACGATTCTACCAGAGAAAGGAGGTGAAGAAAATTTAAAAAGTCATCCGAGGCATTTATTTGATATCCGAAATTCAAAGAAGCTTGACAAGTATTTTGCAGCAAAGACATCTGACCAGGCAGAAACAGCACAGTTTAAACTTGAATA